GGTATATAGACACTGCCTTTCCCCAAGTCTTGACAGTTCCCTTCTCATCACATGAGCAGGTAAATACCCATCACAAGATACCTTCAATCTTCTTAGGACAAAGAAACATACCTGAAGGCCCCTCGCAAAGCAAATGGTTAGGAGTGAGTTGCTACTGCCAGCTTCATTCATAGAGCGGAAGATACAGCAGCAAGCTGCACAGCCTTCAGGCAAAAAGGTGTTTGGAAATGGACTGCAAGCCAAATGGCACCTGAAGGCACCCTTAAACTATTACTGCTCAGATACTATTAATGCACAAAATGTTAGACTTCTGGAAGAGAGACTTTTTGCACCTTTTCCCACTGGTTGGGTAAGCTTGAAGTTTGCTCTGATGGAAGCAGGACTGATAAATATTTCATAGTATCACAGCTGGAAAAGAACTGTAACTGCTTTAACACTCAGCCAAAATTACATATATTCCGTTAATACATGTTTCTAAACCAAACACAGCTAAGAAGAAGAAAAAAAAGAGAGAAAAAAAGAGAGATCAGTGCAATAGAATAGTCTAGCCAAAAATTACACTCTAAACTCCAGTCATCTCATTCCACAATTTCTAAAACCAACCTCCAATACACACAAACAACTCACCCTTCTTGTTGAGAATTTGAACTAGTTTGTTAAATAGTGAACGTTCAGCCTCAAAGTAAACTGATTTTTAGACAGTAATTATCATGATTCTTACTTAATCTATTAACGTCTTCCTCATATTTGACTAGAAAGTCTGCTTTTCCAATTTGTAGCCAGATATGACATTCTTTCCAGCCTGCAGGATCACAGCATACAATAAGCCTAGGTGATTTGTGAAACTTCAGCGCAACATGCCATATAATAAAAAGACACTTTGTCTGAAACGATGGTAAGACTTGCCTTCCCTTTGCATTAACTGAAGGATTGGTATTGGCAGTAGTGAAGAGGTGCTGTTCACAGCAAGAAGGTCATGATATGCTATGCATGTTATTATCATCTACTGTAAACATTAACAAAGTGAAATACCTTGAGATATGTGGTGAAATATTTCACAGAAGAAGGAAAAACATTAATTGGTTATCCAAATTACATGGAAGAAAAGATATGAACAAGGACAGCATTCACAATTCAGTCCTGTGGAGATCTTCAGGTTGGCTTGTCAGTCTCTCTTGCTGAAGACTCTGACTTTCTTACTGAGACATTCTCTAACCAACTCGACTAAAATACACAGTTTTCATCCCTCTGCCCTTCCAGGAGAGGAATGTGAACAGGTGAAGAGAACTGCACAAGTTAATATCGGTAGAGTTTTAAAACAAAAGGTACAATTGAAGTGCGCTTTGACTTCAGATAGTTTTAATCCCTATGGGTGCTCTTTTTACTTTAAAAGCCGCTCTAAACATCTTTTTCTCCAGCACATGTAGGCTTGCTGTGGCAGCAGACAGTTTTCATAACATTTTTAGTCCACAGTCCAATGAGGTATTTTCTTTAGTAGTTATACTGATGTATCTCCCCCACTTAGTCTCCTCCACACAATCCAGCTGTCTTCCCCATGCCCACAGATGTGCCAGCACAACCGGTGGCAGGTCTCACACTGACCTGGGGTTAGCTCCTTTACCTGATTAAAAGTGCACCTACTGTACTCTTTCTGTGACAGGCAGGACTCTGAGGGGAACACTTTAATGCCACTATCTCCAACATTTTATTGAAATAGGCAATGTTGAAAGACCAATTTAAAAAAATCAAAATCTAGCACAGGAACCCTCCACTTATTTCAGATATTTTCTCCCAAAATATACATGCCAGACTGAGAGGCCAGAGACCCCAAGCTGAAGCTCCAGATTCAGCTACCTACCTAAGGCAGAGGTTCCACCAAAGTGCAGAAGTACACTACTCAAGAAGGTATCAAAGCCCTCACTACAATGCAGTGTTGCTCTAGGTGGGAGAAAATACAACACCAGCTCCCCTGTGAGTTTCTCCACTGAGGGCAGCGTTCCCTTGAAACGTCACATGAACTACCCCAGACGTTAACATGAAAGACAACTTAAGTTTCATTTAAAATCTCATCCCAAATACACAAGTTGCATACCATGTGATTTACTGTGTCTGCTTCTGAAGGGTGATGGGCAGAAATAATTCTAAGACCTTAATATATTATCTTAATGACTTTGTGTTTCAGACTTGGTATTAAGACTACTAAAACTATGTCTAATTACAAATTAAAAAAAAAAAAAAAGAAACAAAGAGAACCAAACCCAAATCCCACTCTCCTCAAAAAATAAAACTTCACAACTAAGCCAGGCACAGCTTACCTAGAGTCAACACCTATGTGACAAATGTTTTTCATAGTTAGCATACTAAGTTATATGTACTATAAAAGACCAACCATTCTGCTAAGACATCAGATAACACATGACTTAAGCACATTTAGCACACTCAAGACTTAAATGCAAGGACAAAAGCAAATGTATTTTTCCCCCTTTTAATTCTCTTTAACCAGTATCTTCATTGCTATTTTTGAATACTTGATATCCTTCCACCACCCTGTGAAAAACCAAAAATCAATGCATTCATAAAGACCAACGCACTGCACACCGCACCATGACAGAATACAGAACTCTGTGATTTCCAAAGACATTCTCATGAATAACTGAGAGGGTGATATTTCTAGACTAATATTCATTCACAGTCAGGATTACATCATCTCAGAGCATAGCTGAGCAGACTAGAAAGAGTTTCCGCAGAACTGCACAGTTTTTATTTCTCTCTTGGTGCAGTTGAAGGACAGGGCAAGGAAAACAAAACATGAAGGCAAAAAGATTAAAAATTCAAGAGCATCTAAAAGACGATCTTCTCCATTTTAAACAAAATACAGATTAGCCTTTTTACTGTTTGAATGGCAGTAATTGCCATAATCGCAGTTCTACAAATCTATCCATTCTATTTCTGTTCCCTCAAGCTCTTTCTTCAAAAGAATTTCATATTTGAAACTGAAGTTTCCTAGGAAGTACGAGCTTTTTCTTTTTGTTGTCTTACACCTGTGTGTATACAGCAGTTTTAGAGTGCCAACTCCTAAACTTCTCTCCCTAAGAAGGCTAATTATGCATTCACACTGGAGAAAGTGCACCCACAAATCTGGAAACAGATGTTGTCAAACTGGACTGTATTAACCAATGGGTTTTATGCATTTTATGGATTAAAAAAAGACACAGGAGTAAAGTTCTAAGGAAAAAGAAATCCCTAATAATCATCCTTAATAATTAACAGGCATTTCCACATCCTTGAAGGTTTTAAACTTATTGCAGAAATTTCTTCTACAGCCTGTGTCAGATACCCAGCATGACCACCATGCCTCAACAACCTACCCAGTGCTGGAAAGTAGGGGACAGCATCATGCCCCACTCTCTTCATTGCTGCCAGCCACATGCTCCTGCTGCCTACTTTGAGCTGGCTCTGGCACTCATCTGATCCCTACGTTCAACTCATTAAAGACAGCAGAAAGACAAACTCAGCAGAAGAATATGTATCTGACAGGTCAGATGCTTGACCTGGATTACCTTGCAACTAGATACTAGCACCAGTGCTACGGATGGGGTGGCAGTGCACCAGAAGGAGGGGGGGGAACCTCCCCCTTTCAACAGTGATGTGCTGTGAAATCAGCTCAAAGTGAAACTGTACTCTAGGACACTCACTAGCTGCTTGGTGTTTTAAAAGGTCATTAAGTGATAGAAGGAAGGTGCCTTCCAGAAAAGAGCTACAATTAAGAAAGCCTACTCAAGAGAACTAGGACTTAGAAAAAAAGGAAAAAACCAAACAGATGGAATGAGCAACTACAGGATTTGTATAAAAGTACTGGTTCCTCTGGGAGATGCTCTTATAAAGTGCTCTGTATATAAAAAGAAATAAGTGATACTATCAAAGTCTGCAAAAACTAGAAGTGTGCTACAGTTGAGACCTAGCAAAAGTCTGAGAGAAAACCCAATTAATGTGATAGTCCTTAGATTCCTACCTATACACGAAATGCTACCAAACTCATATCTTTTGAAGACTAAACAGATTAAACAGAAATAATAAAAAAAAGAAAAAAGTACTGGGTACAGCAGGGAGGAGAAGCATGGAAAGGTTCTTCCATTACCTAGACGTCATTGTCAAAGCAGCACAAATGACACTGACAGCTCAATGAATGGTTTGGGGGGTTTGACGGGATAACTTTGGTTATGAAAATAGCCATCGCCCTAGTTATTGCTTCCGATATAGCTGGACTAATACGTAACAGCCTCTTGAAATTTTAATTGTACGATCCAATCTGCAGGTTTAGGGTGTACATTCATGGTAAGCAAACAGAATCGACATGCTTTTCAAACAGAAGCTAGCAGACTTCTCTTGAACTGAAATGCTGAACAGTAATCAAACAAAAGAGTTGGATAGAGGTATTTTCCTGACAAGAGCTGTTTCATACCTTGTGTTATGCTTTGGAGTCATTTGTGAATTGAGGACACCAACCTGGCTGATTCTGCCTAATATAAAATGACATATATGTTGATAAAATTAGATTTGAGAAAGTTACTACAGATAGCATGGACTAATTCTGTGCATGAGCATAGAGTAACTGAAGAAGTGGTTACTCTCTTAAGCATTCAGTTGTCTCAATTAACAGCCATTTCACTTTCATTACAAAAAACATATTCTGAGCTCTAAACTCTTAGTCCGTATCAATTCAGATGCTACATTTCTGCTAATAGCACAATTTATGTACCTGGGCATCACATTAATTGACTCAGGATTATGACCTTGACCTGCTTTTAAAGATATACATCAACTTTATGGTAAATGAAACATTGTATCTGCAGATAATGTTTGTATCAGTCAAAGTATAAAGACGAAAAAAAACCCCAAAACCGCACACAACATAAATAGAACTGACATTTTTAAAAATACATTTAGATAAACTTTTCATTCTTTCACTTGATGCATTAGTGAAATGGAAATACACTTACTGCTCTTTTTCTGGAACAACCTGTAATCCAAGGCACAGTAAGGTTTCCTGAAATCTGTAGAGGGGAAGGGGAAAAAGAACAGAAAACAACAGCAGCTTAGGTTACTATCATAGCTAATACTGAGCAGCTTTCAGAAGACTTCAATATTGTGCATTCAATTCTGATAAGAATGTCTTTAAAACAGGTTAAAATTTAAAAGCAAAACAAAGTCACACTTAGCCTTACTGTTGTAAGACTAAAACCAAAACTGCAACAAATGTTTCTTTGGGTGAGGGTAAGATAACATGATGGCAACTCAGGTGCTTCTGTACTTTGCTATCTCAACTTATATTTCAGAACACCAGTTTTCATCTTCAATCTGTCACAAAACTGGTAAGATTAAGCAGACTGGAGTTAGAGGGCCAAATGTCTGACAGAACTGCCGTCACATATTTTTCAATTACATCAGGTAAACCTTCAGAAAAAAATACTATCATGTTAGTAACTGAACTATTCAAATGTCAGACGTTAAGGTTTTGCATATTAGCAGAAAAACTAGGGACATCAGGCTGGAGAAGGAAGGGGAAGAAGTATGAAGGCAAAGGTTAGCCGCCTCGATTCCCATTGCTTCTCCGTCATTCCCAGAGTTTATTAAATAATAATCTTGGACTGTTTTTCCTGGCTATCTGAAATGTGTCACAGCCTGGAATATTTTAGGCTTATTTAGGATTCCATGTTCATCTTCTGCTGCAGACAAGCAATGCTTGAGAGACTAAACATAGCTCTTGAGAGATTAATCAATATCAAGTCATTACACACACTATATATGTGAGGAAGAAAAATCTATGCACTTCTGCTGACTGTATCAAACTACGCTAATAGTTTTTATATTTGCGAGCATGAGCATAACCAAATATAGAATACCTGGTACAGTTTGTCTAGTGTACAAGCACATAAGATACTTTTATTCTTCAAGCTTTTAGCTGGAAGCGCTTGCAGGTTACCTAAGGTCAGACACTTCCTCATTACAGCACAAGGCGAGTTGAGGGGGGCTAGAAATGAACGCCCTCCCCTCCTAAGGGCAAGTCTACATCAGCTTTTATGTCTAAAATATTAATTTCTTAGTTGCACACACACATTTTAGAAATTCTGTATAAACAAGTTACGTCTATTACAATTCTGTGTCCCACACAACAGCTTCACACCACAGAATCCGCTGTAAATGCGTCCTCAGTATCCACCCAGATGGCTTCTCTTCACAAATTTGAAGTGGGGCTACAGAAAAAAGTGCTCTTCTATGTGAATAAAGCAATCAGTCTGGCAAAGCATTAACGGTTACTTGGAAGACAAACGCACACAAGTTCTGATTTGTGTGATGCCAAATGCAATCAAGTTTATCTCAATATAACTACTTGAAAGACAACATGCATGGGAGTATTCTAAACTGGCTCTCTGAAAAAGGCACAAGGGTTGGGTTTTTTGGGGGGAGGAGGGAGTATTTTTTGAGTGAGATGGATAGTTATCCTGCATCCAGAGGTGTAATTCCAGTCCTAGTCCAACTGGGACAGCTACCGTGAGTTGCAAAAATGACAACCTGAAATGCTTGTCTGAAAAGATATTGTGTCTCAGAAACAGCAACTCTGGAGGATGCTAGAGAAAGGTCAAAGGCACCGCAACACTTGTGAATTACCAATGCTGTATCTTAATTAAAGTGGTTACACTATATGAGGTCCTTACATAATCTTTTCCCAATTCACCTCTAGATTTACTGTCCCAAATCCAGTGCACTGGAACAAACCAAAAGCCCCAACCCAGTCCTGATTGCTGTGTGTCCCAGCGTTACTTGAGGCCATACACAGTGCTTTTGCAACCTGCTCACTGCTGCTGTCCTCCCCAGAGCCCCACAGATTCTCCCCGCTCATGCAGCTGGAAGTATTTCTTCCCAGAAATAAAGTGGAGGAACTCCTGTGACAAAGGTAACTCCGCTTCTGTTACAAGAATGAGTGTCAGGAAACACTTTGTTCAAGTCTCTTCAGGGAAGACCATGTTGCTTTCCCTAGCAAAAAGCTGTGCTGCCCAAAGTTAGCAAGAAAGTCCTCCTCGTGTCTTCAAAAGTCTCTAGGGAAGTAAACAAATCACTTTGACACTTCGATTAAAAAAACCCTCACAAAATAAAAACGGAGTCCCATTTCCTTAAATAAAGCAAACTTGCAGCTCATTCACATAAAGCAGCATCCTTAAAAGTGAATCTTAAAAACAAATAAATATGTATTATATCTATATCCTATTCTGACATACTGGCTGCAAGGCTTAGGATTTTCCCTTGAAGAAGACAGGGTTAAATTAGATAACTGTGCTTCAGTGTGTATAACAAAGTAATTAAAAATACACATACTTTCAACAGTATTTTTGTCCCTTAGGGTTGGGGGTAGAAAACCAAGACTAAATCATGATTCAGCCTTGCGAACCTACAAGAATACCCTCTCTAGTTCAATATGCTTAAAGCCAAACTAAGAAAAGTAAGAAGGTTGAACAATTTGTTTACTGAAACTGCTCAGGCATTAAAATGGATCATTTTATTAAATTTACTCTTAAGTTACACTAACATGAATTTGATTAATTGAACCAGTAAGGACACTATAACTAATTGCTAATTAGATACCCCACCAATGTACGACAGTAATTACTTCATCAAAACACAAATCACACAGTCCTGACTATGAAGAAACATCTGCTTAGATGTTTCACTGCTCCAATAATCATGTAGGTCAGGTTTAATCTATTTTTAAATTTAGGAAGATTTCCCTGAGTTTAAGGATTTTCATTCCTACGCTGATGGATAAATTAACTAAACACGGGCAATCAAATTAACAGAAACTGACTACGTACAAAAGAAGTGTCATTCTGCATAAGTCTAAAATAATTCAGACAGCATCTGTTACAAAATCTATGTCTCTGGAAGTTTAATATATAAAAATTATTAAGCTATAAGGGGAGTGTGTACATAAAATAGCAGTCACACTGGATTTAATTTAAGGAGAGGACTTGGAGGAGGGGATTAAACTAGTGCAGAACCAATGATTTCAACAAAATATGTTATCAGCCTAGTGGGGTACACTATTTGTTACACACGACTTTGAAAGCAGTAGGTGAAATTTTCTTGTCAAGGTGATAAATGAGTGTTGGAAGTGTCATTGTCATACACTAACACCTCTTAAGATACAGAACTTACTTTTGCATTATTCTGGAACGTGCTAAAACCTCTAAGCAAGCAATGCAGTGATCCGGAGAAATCAGCACCATCATTTCTTCAAGGTACTATGGCATCTGGCCAGGCTGTATGACACTACTCCTCCGCAGCTTCCACAGAGCCATGATACTATATGCATTGACCCCACAGCTTTTGCCTTCCCTTATAAATTCTCTAACACTGAGGAGCATGAATGGTTACAGCAATAAGTAAATTAATAGCAACCTGCCTGTTTTTTTCAAGGTTTAAAACTGTGGAAGGGCAAGGGATACCACAGGAAACAGAAGCTCCCTCAATGCAAGGTGCATTCCCAAATCCAAAGAACAGGATCTCTGAGAGACAGGCATGGAAGTCAAATGGGGTACAGATGAATTCCTCACTTATCAAAGAAATAGGTATGTTATTATAACAGAGGAAAAAAAAGAAAGAAACAAAACAAAACGAAGTTACAGAGATCTCCTTGTTCTGATCCATATCACACCATGTGGACAGATAAAATGTCACTTACCATGAACCATTCTAGCTGTTTAAAAACACTGTCCCTACCCCCAAAAAATCCCAAATCGAAGTTATTTCAAATGTCATTAAAAAATTCAAAAAAGTAGTAAGAAATAAATGTCACTCATGCTTTTTCAAGAGTGAAATAAAGTACCAAGAGCACACAGCTTGAGGTATCAATAATATATTTCACTTCACGTAACTTGAAGAAAAATTTCGTTAACTCTATTGTATGCACTTTTGCAGCTTTACCAGCTCTTTACTGAACAGATGTGCACATTTACAGCTTTTCTTCTCCTATGAAACTGGCATGTCAAAAGTAAACAGTGTTTAATGAATTTTGTAAGTCAAGTAAGAACAGTAATAGCAAATACTGGCAGACTATCTGAGAGAAGGGAGAAAGGGAAAGAACAGCTAGTCTAAAGTGCTCAGCTTAGAAAAGGCCATAAATAAGAATTGCAGATGTCCCATCTCCTACATAGAATCTACTCCAGAGTATATATTCTCCTCAAACCTCAGGTTTACCAAGAAAAGCAATAATTCTGGTGAAAAGCGGCACTTACTTGGACTTAAAAGCTTTCAAATCCTGACATGAGATAGGAACAACTCAGAAAAAAGGAAAAAAAAACCAAACACGCTTCACAAAGTATTGTTCCCTATACTTGTGAGCATGGTATGAAAAGATGGTATGTAATAACAGCCAAACGAACAAAAGTAACACACGCAGTATCACATCGTGTCATTAACACGTTTATCTCAGTGGCTCTAGACCATGTCGTGCCAGATAGCATAAAAATCCATGAAAAAAATCAATTTGGAATTTTCCTGCACAACTATCTCTCCTCTAGTTATAACAAAAAAATAAAAAAAACGTAAGGGTGTCAGTGTTGTAGCTTCTTCTGAACATCTTTCAGTTCTTGAATTACCTGCATTTAATTTTCCCCTCTCAGTATCACTGAAGGGACTCTATTACAGGATGAGGAAATAATGGGATTGAATGTAAAACCGATATTTGAATTAGATGCTGCAGCAGAGCAAGAATATTTGCTCACTTAGTGTCTCCCATCATCTTAACTTGCTTGCAGGAGATCCTAATCCTTAACAAAAAACAGGTCCAAGAGATTGGCAACTGCACAGGGGGTACAGGCAGTGCTGATGGAAGAGCTAATCCAAGCTGACATTAATAAGGGCAAGCAACTGTACAGCACACAAATGACAGCATGATCCCATGTTCTGCCCTGTGCCACATGCAAAGTATGTCTACAGAGGAACAACCAAGGGTATCACTGTGACATGCGTGGTGAGCCACGTCAGGACAACGCAGACTTCAGCATGCATCAGCAGTTGTAGGTATGACCCTCTTGTAACCGAAGTTTATCTATTGAATCTATGAAGCCCACACTGATCTTCAATATACGGCTACCCACTGCAGCCATGGGCTCAGTTGCAGATAAGAGTGCCACCATACTATAGTCCTATCCACACTTTTGTTTAAGAAGGAATTACCTCCACCGAAAGATGTAAATGGAGCACAGCCTGCAGAAAGGTGAACCTATCACTTACTAGCTACCAACTTTCAAAGAAAACAGTACTGATCTACAACCTTGTCTTCGAGGTTTGAAGACAGAGATAAATTGACAGATTACCTGGTAATTATTTTGGTTTTGTGACAGCCTCAGTTGACTTGAAGATGTAAAATGAGGAGAAAAGGTACTTCTTGATGGATTAGCACTGTTATATAATGTACTGGATGTTGTATGTAATGAGGTCCGTGCAGGCAAGTGGTAGTCTCTGTTATGATACAGAATATTGTCAGGCACGTCCCTGGCATTCACCATCTGTGAACTACAGCTCACATTTCTTCCTGGGCCAGACAAGGCTGCACTTTGGTTCTCTACTCGAACAGAACTGCTGCTTTCACAGTATCTTGAATAGCTTTGTATTTGTGCTCCCATGGACGCTAGTTCTTCTTCTCTAGCATATTCGTCATCCACGTCTCCAGTTTCCATCGCGATGGACAGACAGCTGCCTTCCACCGAGCAATGCTTCTGCGTTGCACTTCCTCCCACAATTCTTTGAGGTCGATCTGTAACCGCCAGAGAAAACACTTCACGGATTTCCAGGTTTTGCGTGCTACAAGAAGGGTCCCTGGTATTAGCCCTTTGTCCAGGGGGCACATGCGATGCGAGAGCTGCATGTTCCGGCTTTTGTAACCTTTGACATCCCACGGGTTCAGCTTTACAGGGTCTGTGGCATATCATCGGTTTCTGAGGTAACACCAACTCTGCGGTCTGGACTGATGAACCACCGTAGCTTTTTTTAGTGTGACTATATATGGAGTTCGCAGAATTCAGTACACTTGTTTGCCTAGATAAAATAATAGTCTTTTCCCCTACTAATAGGGAAGCATTTTTACAATGTGGTACTTGTCGTCCTATAGGGATGTGCTGCTGCTGAAACTCTGTATCACTTTTTCCTGGTAGTCGTGGAATAGAGGTTTTATGTATTTCTGCCATTGAAGCGTTTGTCTGTTTGGTGGATCCTTGCCTACCAGATGAACTAGCAGGACTGTATATACCAGTAACTATTACATCGTTATTAGAAGAGGTCCAAGAAGACTGCTGACTTTGGGATCGAGCAATATTTACCACATTTCTAACTGCTGCTTCTGGAGGTACTGAGGGAGTAGTAGGGACAGTCCCTGGGGGAGTGCCTCCAGATTCTACAGCACTCTTGCTGCTCATCTTCCTTCGTTTATTGCCAACCCACGTCTGCAAACAACAAACAACAACAACAAACACAAAACAAAGCATTAAATAAGCAGAAAAATTAGGCAATTCCATTTTTAAGCAGATCTGATGAAATGTTAAGTGTTCAAGTTGAGACCTAAGTTTACAAATATGTAAATCATTTACTGATTATGCAGAGTCTGAACAATACAGGGTGGAAATCCATGCCTCTTCTGCTTGAGATTCATACACTAACACACATGAGAACCCCAGTCTCAATTCCAAAGCCCCAGTTTCTCAAAAACCCTGACACTGTATCATGCCTCCTGTCCCAAAGTTATCCTTAAGATTTATTTCATTGACACCGCTGTGAGTAATTCCCTCAAATTTAAGTTCTTAATATTTAGCACCTTGGGATGCAGAACCATCACTGAGGTATGCAGCTAAACTTTTGTAACCAAATAACTGAGAGATACGACCTTCAAGACTGCCTTGAACAGAAACTGCCAATTCTTGAATTTAGATGAGAGGAAGAAAAAGAACTCCTCTTTCTGTTAGACAATTACAAAACAATTTTGTGAAGTGTTTAGACCTATGGCCTAACTCCTCCTCTGCCAGCTGCATAAATCAAGATCTGATGTCAAAACCTGCTTTTGAAAGACACGGATAGACAAGATCAGGACTACTGGGATTAGATTCCAACAGAAGTTTGCTATTATGGACATTTCCGAAAGTGACAATGACAGTATATGGTTTTGTGTAAAAGATAGTAGAGGAAAAAATATTTGAAAAATGCAGGTACTATGGCAGTTGTGCACAGGTTAAAGTGTACTGCTGTTTTAAACACTCAGGAAAGCCTGTCCTGGAAGTAACACATTAAGTTATAGCTAAAAGAACTGAAGGGGAAACATTAACTTCAGTATTTCAAGATAAAGACAGTTAATCTGGTGGAAGCATCAGCTCTAACACTGGAAGTGTAAGCACCACCTAACTATTCCTGGCAACTTTCATGATTAGAGACACAAGACTTGCTCATTTCTTTCACCACAGTATGTCTGTACTGGATGTGAGGGCATAAGCGAGCAGGATACAAGTGCCAAAGAACAAAAAATAAGCTTTTGCATCTGCTTATGCTGGTTATGAAAAGAATCAGCTATGCACGTAGAGATTCGGTGAAACAGTTTTATGCACAACTCTGGATATCATCTGCTGCACACCTAAAACCAAACCAAAGCAGGATCTCAACATTCAGCAACCCAAACCACTTGATTTAATCAATAAACTCCCTCACCCCACAACAAGCAAACTGCACTGCGAACCTATCTTGGGTTTCCATCTCATCACATCAAAGAAGGAAAGTTTTCTTCACATACCAGTACCTGCTAAGGAAGTAAACAGATTTCTCCACAGGAAAATACACATCCCTGCCATACACAAGTATGCTGAAATCTCCATTCCATTCTACTCATTTTTGTTGTCAAATTTTACAAAATGCCTACTTTGAGGCATGATTTATTGCATGCAATAGAGTTCGTTACTAGTGATAATTTTTTCTTCTCAAAAGCAAGTTTAAATACACAAATTATAGCCACAAGCCTCAAGTTTCTTTTCTTTATCGCATAAAATAAATTTAGAAGATCAAACTTGTTTTTTCATAATTTCTGCTCAGTCAGTAAACTTTCAAGATATAATTAAATAGAGACATTGCAAATTTTGGGCCAGGAAAAGAGATTTCACCCCCAACTTTTCCAACTATACAATACTAAAATCTGAAGTTTTTCTCATGGTTTTCCTGAAAAGAAATGCATTCAAAGAAATGCAAATCACTTACTAGCACTGCTGTTCACTTGGGATTAAAGCACAGTTTCATGAGATAGCCCAAGTCAGAGTTGCCACTGCTGAAAAAGTCCCATTCTCCTGATCATGTCCCCAGCATCTTGCTCCCACCATTTAACCAAAAGCACACACCCGAATGATCAGTGAGTGTAACTCCCCCAAAAGCATAAAACTGAATTGGCAAAAAAAAAGAACAAAAGTTTTGGTAAGGTTAGCAAATTTAGCTGGGTTACTCTGAAATTGAATGAATGCAAGAGATGATCAGCACAAGAAGAAAGACAGGGGAGAAAGAACTGCACAGCTGGGAGAAGGGAAAGTACAAAACCTCCCATTTTTAGCAATGTGAGACATTATCCCAAGAATTATGTGAAACTATACTCTTAGACTGAAAGGGAAACTCCAAGTTGTTACTAGCTTGATGGTTATGGTATTAATTTGGGATGTGACAGAGCAGCCGTTAAGTACAAAATATCCTAAGAAAAGGGACACAAATCTTTGTTTCAGTCAAGTTCCCCAACTGGTAAGTTTGGGGAGCACTTTCATTAACACTGGAAGCATTACTGAAATTCTTAACTTTTATTTAGGATGAGAAGAAGCTCCCAGAAGAGATGACAAATCAAAAATCCAGATGCTAAGAAATTTACCTGGGATTTAAGAGACCCTGATTTTACATTCCCAGTTTGAACCAGGCAGAGCTGGAACTTCAGACTGTCCCACCATCCAGATACACACCACAGAGGGACTGTCAGTGGTGCTTGGCTGTTAGTTTTGACCAGAAGTTCCACCCTAAATCTGAAAATAGTGTCCTCAGGATGTCTTTCAAGAGATATAAAAGAATAATGAAGCCGTAACTGTTCTGACGTCTGCTGTGGCACTATGGGGAGAACCCCACACCACCTTCCTGATCACTGCTCCCAGGACTCAGTAATACTGTGAAAATCAGACTTGAAGAACTTTTGCACTTTATCAAGTCACATTGCTCACATTTCATGTAAAGACAAAAAGCAACCAGCAGAAGTATACTAATATTAATGAACAAAACCAGACCATCCAAACCTGACGTAGCTAGAATACATCTCTATTAAATTTGAAATGGGCCAGGGTTTTTTCCCAGGAGTAACTCTACTACATTTCCTAATTTTGAAAGGGAGAACATGTTTTTATGTATTGCAGTAATAAAATTTGTAGAGGTTTACATCACATCATAAATGGGACTTTTCTTTTTTCCAATCCATCTCAAGATTGGAAAGACTGGATGTAGTTCTATAGGACAAGGCTGTAGGAATCTCGATTCAGGGAAAGAATATATTCATAGAGTTATGACATTTGAATTATAAGTTACATTTAGGGAATTCATGTTCCTATTATAGTCCTATCTACAAGTGCCAGCTGCAACCCAAGTATCATTTTGCTAGACATTGTGCAAAGAAGTACTAATCTCCATCCAAGAGTTTTATAGAAAAAAAAAGGAAAAAGAAAAAAAAGTAGGGGATTAGGAGAGGCAAAAAGGAAGGGTGTAAAGAAGAGAAAGGTAAGATCACAAAAAAATAGGAAAAATGCAGGACAAATGCTGGGTCTGTTTCCATTGCACTTCACAAGTAGGAAGAAAGTTTAAGTATTGCAAATAAGGGCTCAATAAGGGAAGAAAACTAAAGGAAAAAGGCCATGATACATTATTGCCCTAAGGGAAACAGAGAGGGAAAGGAAAATATAAAGATGGAGAGTGAATGAGGACTGCAAGTAGACGACAGACTGGCTGCCTCCTCTAGGTCCTTCAATCAGAATAAAAATAGAAAAACAAGCCCTGACTGCATCATCAGCATCCAGATTCCTGTTACAACTGTTTGTCTGTTCCAGGGGGTCTGAATTTCTGGCTGACTTTCAGAATTTCCCACCACCTAGAGCTGAGAAAGTAAGTTTTAGTATTTCCAGAGTATTTTGACGAGGGGAATCCAGGTAAGAATTAGGGAGCAGGAGGGGTTGTTACTGTCAATATGCCACTGTAACACCACTTAAAAAAACCCTAGACCGGTCTTACTTCTTCCTCTTCAGTGTCCAGTGTTGCAGCAACTCCTGGTAGCTCCATTACTGTTGTTATTTTTTCAGCTAATGCTTCATGATTTCTATTTCTGCTCTGAGACAACAGCCATTTTGTTGTCTCCTGTTTCACAACAGGATTATTAATTCCCTTCCCATGGAATTCATAGACTTTGGAAGAGCTCCTGCTAGCACTAGTGACATTCTTCTTTTATAAGAAAAGAATGAACTCACTGTAAATAACCATGAGGGACCACAATATTTATGATTGTGACATGGAATACAAATGTGACAGAGTGTGTCAAAAGAAATACTTCCACAATTATTCCCCTAAATACATTAGGTTATAGAAATTCGTTTAACTTACGAATAGTTTCCTAGTAACATGACCTTTCTCTGACACAATACATTGCACAAGGTTTCTATAGGGAAATCTAATTTGCAATTTAGTAAACAAACAAAAGCAAAACCCAAACCAAAACACCATCAACAAAAGACAAACAACAACCAAAAAAACCAAAACAAACAAATATCACTCCTTGTGCAATCCAGGCCCCTGCTAAATACAGCAATCATGTGAAGACATTGCAGCGAAAACAAACTATAAACAGGCTCACTGGATAAAAATGAACATGTCACACACGCATACTGAAGTCCAATTTAAGACAAGTATGAAGTTAGAGACTCCAGTCCTCTACAGATATTTTACGTAAAGAAATGAACGTGTATAACTTTAACATACAAATTTGGAAGGCCTCAGTACTTACCCTGACTACACTGAAGTCCAGTTTAGTTTCTTGTGCACACTGTAATATGAGCTGAAAGCAATTTTTACTTTGATTTGTCATTCCATTTTCATAATAACGCTGTAATATCCTTTGTTGTTCTACAGTAAATACAGAACGCAGATTCATCTAAAAATAAAAGAAGATACTCTGAAAGTTGGAATAAAAACTGTAATACTTGCAGAATGCACAGGCTCTCATTTATGCTTGTTGTGATAATGCGAAGTGTTGACATGTTTTCTTTACAGAGTCCTTTACCAACACTTTTACTTACTTTCCAATAAAACCTGTTACAGTCAGCATTAGTGATTCCTTTGTGATAGTCTCAAGTTGAACAGGTGAACTACATGTTTGGAACAACACTGACAGCCTTTCATAAATAAATAAATATTACATTGTGCTGCTAAGTCCAAGAGCCTCTAGGTTCAAAGAAAAAGTTTCTCCCTTAAAAAAAAAATAAAATAAAGGCATTAGGCAAAACAGAGTAACACCAGCAGCTCCAACAATATTGGCAAGTCTGTTTCCCCTCCCCTACCAAAAAAAGAGACAAAATCTGAGATAAAATAAAGGTGACTGTTTGGCATGAGTAAAGGTTCCACCGCCCGCAACTTCAGCAAATCCTACACTCCGTTATGGCTGGTCATGCTACTCCTTCTGCTGTGTCAGCACCGGCACTTCCCAGCTGCAAAGTCACAAAGATCAAGGACCAGAACTGAAGACCAACTCAGGGGAAAAAAAACAAAGAGAAGGGCTTTAGGCAGCTCTGGTCCAGCCCACTAGAACGCTAATGCTCTAATATTAACATGAAGGAGGGACCACCCAAATCACAGCCTGCATTTAGAAAGGTTCAAGCTACCGTGAAACTGTACCCTGAGACTATAAATCAGGCTTTTTAAGAACACTTAAGGGTTGTTTTACAGGGGTATAAGCCAATGCTGGCTACAGGACCTAAGGATGCGTTCCTGCTCCTTTGCTTTGTCTGAAGTGGTGCTGGGTTCTTCAGCATGCTCAACCAGAATGAAGAGACCCACGCTCCTCCCAGGCTAACAGCAACTCTTCAGGTCTTGTTTTCAGCCTGCTGAGCCAGCTCAGTACCGGGTCCCCCCATGAGAGAACTTAGCTGTGTGGGGACCAGGCAGCCCGCCTGGGGGGGCCCCGCCGGTGCCGGGGCAGCTGCTCCACGGCGGTCCAGGCCACTGGGCACCCAGGGGCCCAGCCGGGGCGCAGCGCTCCCCCTGCGAGCCTGCCCTCAGGCCCACGCGATCCTGATGGCGTGGCCTCCATGGCGAGCAGCATTGCCCCACAGCCGGCCATAAGACAGACCCTTCACCACATCCCCGCCGGGGCCGTGCCCCGGCCAGGCTCAGCACAGGGCTATGCTGGCCCACAGCAGAGGCAGGAGGGGGCC